GCGCCCGTACCGGACCAGGACCGGCAACGGGATCGCAACCCTCGGTGCTGCGCCCGCACCTCGCTCAGCCAGTGAGCGGGAACCGGTTTGTATGTGGGATCCGAACCCTCGGCGGGAGCGCCGCCACACTCCCAAGCAGTGCGCCACCAGGCCGGCCCAATAAACCCTTTCAACAACTCTGTGAGGAAGATACTATTGTTAATAACGTCCTATTTAGCAGATGAGAAAACTGAGGCACAAAGGCTAAGCAGTTTGCCCAATGTCACAAAGCTAGTAAGGAGAGCTGGGATTAGAACCCTGGTAACCTGACTCCAGTGTCCCTGCTCTTAACCTCTTCAAGATGGCCACCTTTAGGAGCAGAGAATATTAATCAAGCATTTTCGAGTGACTACTGTATGTCCTCTCTCATGTGAGGTCAAAGGACTACCCTTGAGGAGTTAGAAAAATAAGATGTACCAGGGACAAAATTAAGTAAAGATGTCCCTGTTATAAGCCTGGGGGAGAGGTCCCAATTAGGGTAAGGAAGTTTGGGGATGGAGGGGTATCTTTCAAAGGACTCCAGGTTCATAGGGTTGGGCCAACACTGAGCAATCTCCTCAGTCCCCACTCCACCCTAGGGATGTGTCTCCAGTATCACCTGCCTTGGGACTGCTCTCTAGATCACGTTTCTGGTGGAGCCTTGTCTGCCCGAGTTTGGGGGTATTTTTAGCAACTTCCTGCCCCTATGGATGCAGGGGGTGGTATTGAGATTGGGGCTGGGAACCTAGGTAGGAGATGGGATAGGGGCTGAGTGGAACCACTGGCTGAGGAAGGGAACCAGAAGGCTAGTAAAGGAATTGAGCCTGGGGTCTAAGGTGGGACTTGGGGGTTGGGAGTGGGAAGAAGGAATAGGGAAAGAAGACACAGAGAAGTTGGGAAGGGAGGGTTCTGGGCTTGGATATACTTGGTCCTATACTAGATTAGTGCCTGCTGCACTCATGGCCCTGGGCAGCAGCAGGTAAGTCAGGGTCCCTGCCCTCAGGGGCTTGCTGCCTGACGCATGCTAAAGCAAGATGTGGGGCTGGAGATGGGTGAGACAGGCAGGCGTGATGGGTGAAGGGTGAGTGATTGAGATGGTGGCTGAAGGTTGGGGACCTAAAGCAAGGGAGACTTCCCCCAGTGTTGGGGGCACTGTCTTCCAGAATGAGCGTCCAAGGAGGTCTCAGGCCGCCCCTACCCCTGTCTTGTGTCCCTAGCCGACTACATCGTGCTGCAGTTCGGCCGCGTGGCGGAGGACACCTTCACCCTAGACTACCGGTACCCGCTGTGTGCTCTGCAGGCCTTCGCCATCGCCCTCTCCAGTTTCGACGGCAAGCTGGCCTGCGAGTGACCCCAGCAGACCCCCAGCGCCCCCAGAGCCCGCCGGCATGGGGGAGGGTTGCAGGGTCCCTTCACCAACCCCCCCACGGAAGTCTCCTCCCTTGTCGAGGACTGACCCCTCGCTGCCTCTCGGTGACCTCCGTCCGCTTCCCAGCCCGGCCGGGCCAAGGCAAGGGAGGAGCTCAGACGGCGGGTCCGACGGAGATGAAGAACATCTGGAGCGGGAGCCGCACATCTGGTCGCGGAGCTCGCCCGCGCCCCTTCACTCCCCTCCTCCCCGCGCCCAGTCACTTCCTGTCCGGGAGCAGTAGTCAGTGTTGTCTTAACCCCCTCGGAGACCGCACTGGGGCTGGAGCTGGAGCGGGCTCGCAGGAGGGGGCAGGTGAAGGGGCACAAGGGCCGGGTACCCACGGCCCCAATAAAGCCGCGTCCTTGGCCCAGCGGAGCGGTGGTTCCTCAGCGCGTGCGGAGAACGAGGCGGCGGGAGGGGTCCGGAGGGCGCGCTGGAGGCCTC